GGGGGGGAGGGGGTGTTAGAGACAACACGGGGTCACCATGCCATGCTGAGAGCGCCATGCCAACATATCCAGCAACCCCCCCACCCCACCTACCTGCCCACCGTCCCCCACCAATGGGCCGGCTCTGTCTACCTGTCTGTCTGGAAACCAACCAATCAGAGCACAGAATGAGGACACAGAGGTAGAGGGACAGACAGACAGCGATGGCGCTCCGTCTCTGGGACAGCTCCGACCTGCAGCGTTTAGGAGGCACAGCTCAGTCACTGAAGGACCGCAGTTCCCATGATGCACTGCAGTAAGCCAGAAAAGGCTGCAGGTTTTATTCAGTTTGAAAACACCAAAATAAAAGCTTTTCTGTCGCTTTATTTCCGCGCTGAATTCATGGAACATCAGGAGGAAGTTTGAGGTTCTGTAGGAATGGATGAAATAAAACATCAGCTGCTCCCTAAACATCAAAAATTATTCAGCTTCACCCTAAAACCTCATTTCTACTCCTGAAAACCGATCCGGACCGAGCTAGGATCAGTTAACGTTTACACGCCACCCTGGCACGGTTCCTCGCCTCCTAGAGGCGATCTATGGTACTACTGAGGGAAACAATCGAACCAACATGGCGGCACCCGTAACATTTAGGAAGTATGAGGAGAGTCAGGCGAAGAAGGCAGAAGATCAGGGCTTCCAGACACAGGAAACAACGACAGACGTTTAGCTTCATCACTCGCTAAAGAATCATCGTCACCATCCGATCCATCCTGGAGCACGATCCGTTCATACGCCATCAGCTCATTTATGCTTCCAGATTTACATCCTCAATTTTATTTTGTTAAAATGATCTAAATGACGATATTCCCTCCCCAAAATATTAAGCATACTAAAATATAAAGTGTTAAAGGTTAATTATGCATTTCCTAAGAAAACAAATGCTTTAAAATCCTTTCTGTTTTATCTCTGGTTGATCTGCACAGGAAATGGGATGCTACGCTACTTCCAGGAGCTAACTTTTCAGTTTTGATTTAAAGTCGTAGCGAAGTCAGATTTAAATGTCAAATCATTCTGGTTTAAACACGTATAAAAATATTCTCTTTATCAGAGCAGATTTACTGATCTGATCGTTTCCCATGATGACGTCAAAGAAGCTGTTTAACAGAGAAAATGGAAAAAGCATCAAATTGTCTTACAAAAGTCATTAAACATTGTTTAAAGATGTATATTAACATTCTTTAGAGATTAAGGATAGAAAAAGGTAATTTTAGTACCATAATTATATAGTTGATGGACACCCAGACGTATGTTGCTGCAGGGCGGATCTTGTTTTAGGGACGGATCAGGTTGTGAGAATCATCACTGGAAATCGTGCGGCGCGGTAGGAAGCGAGGATTTTAATGAATTTCCTGATTACGGAGGCTGACTGTGAGAAGATGAGGCGGTCTGCTCCGAGCCAGAACTGAACGCCGCTGATGAACTATTACCATGTTAGCGCGGTCCGGTTGTGTCCGGCACGGTCCGGTTCGGTTGTGCGTACCATTTACACTCAACAGTTGTCTTGGTTACCGTGATCGGACCGATCTCAGCAGGAAATAGGGCTTAAGATAAAAAAACTGGCCTGGTTCCAGAAAACCTGAAGGAATCAGAAAATTCCCGTCTGAATGGACGAACCATCAGAACCAAACCGAACTGAAGGGGTGGATCAAACACCTGCAGCAGGAGGTCAACGCCATGATGGCTGAGTGTGCACATGAGCGTGCACGTGAGTGTGCACGTTTACCTGCAGACAGCTGTGACTGGGACCTCCTGCGGGAGCCACTGGGAGTTCTGGAGGCCGAGGACAGTGTTGAGCCAGCGCTGCTGGCCCGGGAGATGGGGAGGGGGACGGGCGTCACGGGGGGAGAGTCCAGCTGTGGAAGAAGTCACAACAGTTTCTTCTTCTACGCTTTTTATTTCATGGTTTTTCTAGATTAGACCAGCGGGTTCTGGTTGGTTCTGGCCCAGATCGGGCTGCTGGCCGGGGATCACTGTACCTCTACGCTGTCGTGTGTTGGCGAGGACGAGGTGGACGAGTTCTCGTGCCTCTTGGACGAAGACGAGCTGAGCTCCACGCTGCGAACGCGCTGAGCAAACTTCAACGAGCAGACTGACTCGCTCATGTTGCCTGGCAACGGAGACACCTGCAGGGACATGGAGGTGTGAGAAAGGCACCGGCACCAAGAAGACCCGGCCCTGGACTCCAGCCGGACTTACCTGGACCATCATCAGGGTCTTGCTGTCTCCGCTCAGCGAGTCCTGCAGCAGGTAGGTGAGCCGCGAGTTCCTGAAGGGGACGTGGGCGTGTCTGCTGCGCAGCGCGCTGATCACGTCGCCCAGCGCCGACAGCGACTTGTTGATGCACTGGGCCTCTCTGAGCCGACTGCCCTCGGCTCCGGACTTCCCGATCCGCTCCGATCCCGCCAGGTCCACCAGGTTCAGCTTCCCTAAAGCCGAACAGAGAAAAGCGCCGACTGAGAAAACGAGTCCAACCATCAGAACCAGAGACTCCAATCTCCAGGTCCTCTGCGGCCCGAAAACGCCACATCCGAACCGCCGGCAGTCAGAAACATCCAGTGGTCCGCACCTTGTGTCCTGGTTCGAGTCGTACTGTTTAATCCAGACACGGTGATGATGAGCAGGGCGTGGGAGCGCGAGCTGTGCTCGTTCAGGTTGGTGCACGCCGTCGCTCTGTTCAGGTGACCCAGCTCAAACACCTGAGGACGGGTGAGACGCTCATCAGAGCCGAACGCTGAAGTTTGTTCTGATTTCATCGACAGGTTCTGTCCAGAACGTTTTACTCTGAAAGGACAAACAGGAAGCTCCTACCTTGTTGATGTCCTCGGGGCTCTGAACTGTGATCTCGGTGAGTCCGGGGACGTAAAGCTGTCCGCTGCCGTCAGGATTCAACTTGATGTCCAGTTTGTCCGTAGGATTGTCCCTGAGCAGATCTCTGCAGGAAAACAGATTTTCAGAATCCACCCGAGGGCAGAGGCACCCACCCGGGAACAGAGGCAACCACCAGGGGGAAGAGGCACCCACCAGGGGGAAGAGGCACCCACCCGGGAACAGAGGCACCCACCCGGGAACAGAGGCAACCACCAGGGGGAAGAGGCACCCACCAGGGGGCAGAGGCACCCACCAGGGGGCAGAGACACCCACCAGGGGACAGAGGCACCCACCAGGGGGCAGAGACACCCACCAGGGGACAGAGGCAACCACCCGAGGGCAGAGACACCCACCCGGGGGCAGAGACACCCACCAGGGGGCAGAGGCACCCACCCGGGGGCAGAGACACCCACCCGGGGGCAGAGACACCCACCAGGGGGCAGAGGCACCCACCAGGGGGCAGAGACACCCACCCGGGGGCAGAGGCACCCACCAGGGGGCAGAGACACCCACCAGGGGACAGA